TTGTACAATTATGTTTGTTGCTGCTCTTTTCACAATAGCTAAGAGATGGAAGCAACCTAAGTGGCCCTCAACTGATGAATGGTTAACAAAAATGTAGTATATTTACACAATGGAGTTCTATTCAGCAGTAAAGAAAGATGAAATAATGAAATTTGCAGGTAAATGGATGGATCTAGAAACTGTTATCCTAAGTGAAGTAACACAGACTCAGAAAAAGAAATGACATATGTTCTCCCTCATATGTGGATCCTAGCAGCAAATCCTTTTAAATTCCAGGTCCTTTTAATAAGATGATTATATACAGCAGTCCCTTTTGCATGAAATAACTACCATTATCGTGACTTTAGCTGAGCCTGATCACTAAATATCATCACAATTGGGCTTGTTGATGGTTGTGCTCATTCATTAAAGGAGGGCCAAGCAGGGTTATTGGACCCTCACTGCATTATCCAGCCACTCTTCCCAGCCAAACCCTGATAAGTGAGTATGTATCCAGACATAACTACAGGAATCAGGATAATGGAAAGGAAACAGGGAAGTAAGGGGATAAGGGGAAAGAAGGAGCTCAAGCGAGGTAGGGCTGTGGGAGAAGGGTATTATTAAGGGAGAAAGGGGGGAAATGGGGGCACCTTAAATGGGAAAGCTATGATGGAGGGGTGAGACAATGTGAGAGATAAATAATGCTTAGCTAGTTTTGAAAACCAGAGGGAACCATATTACTCCTACAACCTACTGACAAATTATACATACCAGATCAAGAAATATATGTCTAGGTAAGGTTTATCTGAGAACAATTGGTCTTTGCCCAAGATTTATCTATATGACACATGGTAATTAAAAGTACCAGACTGGTGGAACTAACCTTCTTGGATGTTTAACAGACATACCATGAGGCCTATACTAATTTGGTAAGAGGGACATAAAGGACAGTTTCTGCTCCTTGCCCTCCTAGGTCGACTAGTTCCAGGGGACTTTGAGCATCTCTCAAAATGTTCTGTAATGGTGGTTGGTGACCTGTCCTCTTGATCAAGGAGGCTGAGGAAACCCCAGCAGATGGACTTGAACAAGTGTCCAGTCTACAACGAGGAGGGTCAACACAGAGGAATCATTTCCTCCATACTTCCAAGTGAAGCCAACCATGGTCGAGCAGGACCTTTGACTTACCTTCACATAGGCGGAACTGGTAAAAGAAAGGAGCCAGGGGCTCC